TGACACGAATGATAGTTTGACATAAATAACAGTTTGACACGAATGATAGTTTGACATAAATAATAGTTTGACACGAATGATAGTTTGATATAAGTAATAGTTTGACACGAATAACAGTTCGATCTGAATAATAGAATGAATGGGCCAAAGGCCGTTTTGACATGAATGAATAGGCCAGAGACCGTTTTGACATGAATGAAAGTCTGAATGGGCCAAGGGCCAGTTGTTATGGAAAGATAAATGGGCCAAAGGCCAGTATGTTTGGAACCACAGTCACTTGACTTAAATTGTATGTATATATATATTAAATAGAAGTATGAATTGGGCCCAAGGCCGTTCGGAATATGTTGTTCTACATATTGTTGTATCTTCTTATTTGATATTATTCACTGGGCTTTCGCTCACGCTCATTCATGTGTTTGTAGGTGAGCTAAAAGAGGTCCAGACCCAGCCCCAGTGAAGCCAGTATGGAACAACCAAGTTTTTGAGAGTCAGCCCCTACGTCTCACGCACGAGACTCGTCTTCGCCCTTTTGTTTGGTATTTATATCTTGCCATGTTGGCGAGGACTCTGTATCTGTTATGTACAGTTTTGATAGGGTGGCTTAGTCTGATGATCCTGTCTGTACAGAACCTTTTGTTACTGTATTTTCCGATGTGAGTTGTTAACATATTTGTGTCGGGAATGTTGTGACGTGCATATAAGCACAGCTCTATAGACAAAGTTTTAAATTGCTTCCGTTTGGCCCCCATTAACTCTGTTAAAATACGATTGGTTTGGTTTGAGGCCGTAGGTAATCTCATGATTACTGGTCGGTTATGTCCTTAACCCACGGGGGCGAGTTCAGGTCGTGACATTATGAGTTTTATTTTAACGATTCGAACTATTTATTTTATTACATATTTTATAAAATAAATGATTTGAATAGAAACGAAATTATGATAAACTTTACAAATTTTTTAAATTCTCTAATATTTAAATTTGAACTAAAGAAAACTTAAATCAAAAAGTAAGTCAACATTGACCTATTGTAAAATTATTTTACTTTATTAATTGAGAATACTATATAAATAATATCAAAATGTCATGCAATTACGACTAATTGGGCACATGGGACTATGAATAGAGAAATTATTCAATACTCTCGGAACATCATGTGATCATACTTTAAGTCAATCACCAATTACTTAGTCTCATATTATTATCTCATTCTCAACATAAATTATGAGCCCTTACATCTCTCCACCAATCAAAATATTATAGAGCACCATATGTTCACATTCTGAAAATGTTGAATAATCACCCCTATGAATAATTGCCCAATGAATGGTCGACAAATACTTGTTCGGTCAATAGATGACCAAATTGAAGGGATAAGGCCTACTACTATAACAACGTTATTTGGATTGGTTGGCTGGGTAAAGTTATTGTGAAAGGCACATCAAGGCCCAAGAAAAAAAAAAAAAAAGAGTTTACCTTTTTAAGAATGGGCTTCACTCTTGTGTAAATATGGAATATCCCGTCCAACAATTTTCATGCGCCATGTGAGATATTGATGATCAATTATGTTTTTGTTACTCTTTGGCAAATTTGAAAAGACCGTAACAAATTGATTTTTGATAATCTTTTAAACTCAATTTACATCAGTCTCGAGAACATCTTCAATTATGTTAAAGAGATTGATGAGACTTATCATTTCCTTCTCTTTCTCCAGCCTGCATTACCTAGACTAATTAATTGGAATTGTCCATCTGTAGATAAACTCAAAATGAACACGCATGGCTGCTCAATGGGAGATCCAGGACAAGCAGGCTATGGAGGCTTGCTGAGAGGTGAAGCAGGCACCTAGTAATGGGGCTACTTTGGAAAGATAGGACATTGCACTAGCTTGGAGGCTAAGATTTGGGCCATTTACAGAGGGCTCACCATTCTCTTCCAAAAAGGCTTTACATATGTGGTAATTGAATTAGACTCTGAACAGGCTATCACTCAATTGCTTCATGGTCCAAACCCAAATTCATCATACAAGGCCCTCATTGAAGATGCCAAGTTTTTGCTTAGAAGGTGTCGTTTTTCTCTTGTACACACCTTGAGAGAGGGTAATAGAGTTGCTGATCAACGAGCTAACATGGGAGTGGCTCAAACAGAGCATGTTGTGTTTCTTGAGAATCCTCCAGAGGAAGTTAGAGCTGCATTTGTAGATGACATAATTGGTGTTAGATATGAGAGGGGCTAACCCTCTGGATTGTAATTTGATAATTTGAACTCTTGTCTTTAATTTTTCATACGAATAAAAAAAGAGATGATCAATTATGGTTGGAATTTTTTAGCGTCAATGAGATAGATTGTATGTGGTATTTTATTTATTTATTTATTGTAATTAGATTAGATAATAGGTCCTATTATAATTATAGAGTGTTTGAGAGATAGTAATGTTGTGCTTGATTAGAAAGTTTGGGAAGAAATTGAAAAAGGAAAGAGAAAATATAGGTGGAATGTGAATAGAACATACTTATATGTCACACATCTTTTCTTTTTTCATTTTCAAATTCTCCTAACTAAACACAGCGTAATGGACATATGCATTTGTGATTGGTGAAAAGTACTATTTGGCAGTGTTACACGTGATATCCTCCTAACAAACAAAAAAATTCCCATTTAGAAGCTTACATGTGTTGCATTTTTCTACCATAAAAAAATTAAGGATAAATTATAAATACATCCCTTAAGGTTTGATTAAAATATGAATTACCCCTATAGTTCTGCAAATTACATTATACTTCCTGAAATTTCTAATTTCATAACAAATCATCATTTTTATTAATAAACTATCAAGTCAATTAACAATTTTTAATAATGTTAAAAATATGTTTCAATTAATAATTTATGTAATTTTATTATTGTATAGAACAATAATTATAAATTTCATTTTTTAAGTTAATTCTGTTAAATAAAAAATTCTTGGGTAAATTACACTGACACCCCCCTGAGGTTTATGTTTATTACAGTTCCCCCCTCACATTTGGGAAATTACACTGACCCCCTTGTCAGTGTAATTATTTGAAGGTGTTAACTTTAAGTTAAAATGACATATTTACCCTTTAACCTTTACATATACTTTAAAGGATAAATTACATTGGCACCCCTTAAGGTTTTAATTTAATACGGATCCCTTCCTGACATTTAAAAAAAAAAAAAACTAATTTGATAAAAATAAATATAAAGAAATATATTTAATTTGTAAAAAATTATTTCTAACCACTCGAAAGATAAAAATTATATAAAAATGATAATTATTTTTTATTTTTTATTTTTTATTTCTTAACCAAATTAATTTTTAATTTTGTTGAAGACGAAGACTATGATGATGGGATTGACTTTCCGTATGAAGACCCGCCATTGATATGCTGCTTCGGAGCAGCAAACAACCCAAAAAGGGGTACAACACAACTCTCTGCAACTCCTTCGAATCAATGAATCTATCTAGTTGCAGAGAGAGAGAGAGAGAGAGAGAGAAATCACACCCTCAAAAGGGTATTGATGTAAAAATAAATGGAATCAAATCACACCCTCAATAATCTGGCAATACATTAGGACTAAATGGTATACAAAAAAACTTAAAGGACTAAATAGTTTAACTTTTTACAGGATAGGATTTATGGGTAATTTTTCCTAAAAACAAAGATCAAATCAATTGAACCACCGTATGTCTCAATTACATTTATCTTTAAAATAATAGATGATTTATTTTTAAAATCATACTTACTGTCTTTTTTCTTTATAGAAAAATATGATCCATTTGACATTAATTTTCTAATCAAATTATTTATTTATTTGTTTTGTAGAGATGTTCTTTCAAAAAAGACCTTAATAAATTAATAAATCAAATCATCAAAATTAATCGTATTATTGGCCCACAGAAGCCAAAAAACCTTCCCAATTAGAATTATCAGGAATAGGGAGAATCTCTCTATCCATTTTATTTAATTTTCTTAAAGTCTTTCAATTAAAATTCATTCATCCAAACTTAAGTTGTTAGGTCATAAGATTTTGACAAAATAGATTTTTTTTTAATCTATAATTCATTTAACTTCTTATCAACTAGTTATATTAAACAAGAACCATTGCTTTTTATATTGCTATGCTAATATATATGTATATGGAAAATGATTTGGAGCCCTAAAAAAGCCCCCCCTAATCCCCCTAATCCCCAAAACGACGTCATTTTGTTTTTTTTTTTTTTTTTTTTTTTTTTTTGTGCCTTGGTCTCAATTTTCGGGAGATTAGGACTCCCCAAATTAAGGGATGTAGCACGGCCCTTTTAAATTACATCATGCCTCATATATTTTACACGTTTTTTGAAAAAAAATAAAAGAATAACTTTTAATCATCCTTCCAAAACAATCTTTTGAACTTAATAGTCTCATCCAATACAAAGACGAGAGAAAAGACCAGTTCCTTCTTTATAGAAACATAGTAAAAAAAATTCACAGTTTAATCCGTATTGAATAGGAATTTAAAAATATAAATTAGATACAGATTTAACGTTTGACATTACTCGAAGTGATTATCCTCATGTCTAAAATCATAACTTCAAGGTTGATATGCCAAACTTAAATTTAAAAAAAAAAAAACACACACACACACAACACAGTGACAGAACTAAATTAAGAACTGATTAATGGAAATGGTCTCCAGAGGGCTGAGATCACAAGCATTAATGATTACCATGACATACCTCAATGCTATTTAGACTAGGAAAATGTTTGAGGGCCACAATTTTTGTGACAACAATGGCTTAAAACTGTCAAAATGACGTCGTTTTGGGTGCAAAATATGTCAAAACGACGTCGTTTTGACAGTTTTGAGCCATTGTAGCCACAAAAATTGTGACCATCTAGCATTGTTGATTTAGACTATATATTTTGTTCTAACATTCACTTTTCAAATCCTCTTTGAACACTAGCATTTCATATGTTAAGCAAATACTGGACAGTAAATAGAACAAGTAACACTGAATCACTGATCACAGATATAATAGTGTCATTTAAGCCCTTCATCTACACTACCAGCAAAAGGGACAAGAATACTCTTTTCCCCAAAATTTATATTCCCTTGTTTTCAATACATAACGGATCATACATGCCGAAAATTTCAAAACACGAAAATCTCAAAACAATGATCGATCGTGCGACTACTGAGGGTATATTACCACGGCTTGATTTCTTGATTTTCATCCTTTTTGTTACTTGAATTTCTCCAATTAGGATGGTGCCTGAAGATCCATCTCCAAACCTTATGTCCTCTCTTGTCCTTCTTGATTCCTGTGTCATTCACTGTGATCCTACAAGAGTTTCCACATTCATGGTGTCCCATAAAATTCCCACTTCTCATGCTACCCAAATCTGAAACAGAGACTGGAAGATCAGTACTAGTCCTCATAACAGAGTAGTCTGTTTTTGACTCTGAAGACAAATCAAGTTTCAAGTCAATAAAGCCAGACTCATCCACTCCACTAAAATCACTTTCTTTTACTGGGAAAAAACCCTTTTTTGCTCCACTTTTTCTTGACTCTGTTTCACTGAAACCACTTACTCTCTCAGAACCCATCACTGGACCTCCATTAAAATCAGAAACTTTAGCACTTGAAAATGCAAATTCACTGCTCTGATCATCTAGGTCATGAAAATTGCCTCCCCTGAAGCTACAAAGTGACCTAGACCTTGACACACCCATGTAATCAAACACCCACATCTCACTTTTCTCATCACTTCTCTCACCATTACCCTTCTCTCTCTTCTTTCTAAACAGCCTCACCATCCTCCATAGCCCAGAATTCCTCTTCTTGTTGATACCAACACAGCTACTACTACTCCTCTTGAGGGAGTGCTCTGTTTCGGTTCTTTCATTCTCGATGAGAAATGAGATTCTTCCGACGCTTCCGGGCTCGGCGGCGGCGGAGGAGTTCCGGTACGAGGAGGGTTCGGAGCAAGAACAGGAAGAGAGGCGTTGCTCGCCGCAATCGGAGCAAACGAGCCTGACCAAGCGGTCTTTGAGGCAGTGAGGGCAGATTCCAATGGAAGATGAAGAAGGGTGTTTTTTGCAGGGAAAGTCTGAAGCAGAGGAGTAGTTGAAGTCTGAGAAATTGTGGGTGTCTAGAGATTTTCCTCTCTCTTTCATCATTGCCTCTTGTGTTATGTTCTGTTGTGTTGTGTGTGTGTGTTTTGAGGTTATTTGTGTGGTTTGGGAAGGATGGTTCAGGTTTTGATAGAGTTGGGAAGAAGAGGGAAGTGGTGTGATGGAGATTGGTGATGCGTTTGGAAGATGGGATTTGATGAGTTGGAGATGGAGTGATGAGTTGATGGAAGCAGTTGGAGTGTGTTTTCGCCTTTCAGGAGATCAAATCAAATGCTGTGTCAAATTTGCTCACTATTAGAGGATATGTAGTTTGTACATATACTTGAAGGTAGAAAATATTGAGAAGTTCACAAAAGTATGTTTGGTGATTTTATGAAAAATAAATTTAAAAAAAGAAAGATTATTAGTGAAAAGATGGTAAGGAGGTATTTTTCTCTTTTACTTTTAATTATCAATTTTCAACTCCAAAAAATTCTACTAAATAGGCTACAACACCATCTTGTTTGTTGTTATTAACTAATAAAATATCGTAAATATAAATATAACTAAAATATTTTTTCTTATGTCTAGCTAATCTAATTATGTAGAACCTGTTTGGTACAATTTATTGTAAATAAAAAATTAATAATAAAAAAGAAATAAAAAACCTCATTTTCTTAAATTTTAATAATTAATTTTTTAATTTATTTAAACTATTTTTACCTAATAAATTGCAAGTAGAAGTTGTATCAAATAGTTTAAAACACTCTCTCTCAAAAAAAAAAAAAAAATTTAATTATAAACAACCCAGCTAAACTGAATATTGAGAGAAAATAATGTTATAGTTACACTGAATATTGAGAGAGAGAGAGAGAGAGAGAGAGAGAAAAGTGAGTGTGTGTGTTTGAGTTTGAAGTATTAAGGTACATCCTGCTGCTGATATTGATATGGCATGACTTTTAGAGCAAAAAAGATGCTTCGCCTTTAAGTTTTTCTTTCCAGGGGGAACATTGTTCATTACATGGTAAAGATTGATGGCAACATCCACTATTGCCGCTGCAGCTATTATTGTGTGGGGAAAGTGAATGATAGTAAGAAATTGAATAATGTTGCATAAATAAATAAAAATTATATATAAAATAATATTCTTCATTCTTAAAATATTAGTTACTTATTATATTTTTAATTATTTCAAAATATTGGTCCCTTTTAAAAAATTAAAGATTAAAATAATATGAATTTCTTATTTTATCATCCTTTTAAATTCATTAATAACACAAAAAGTATAATTATGACAATTGATATTTCTAAAAAAATATATTATCAAGGAATAATTTTAAAATTTTAATATTTTTAAATTACAATAATTGTACTATAAAAAAATTTAAATTTCTCAAAATAAACTATTATTTTAAGACGAAAGCAGTATGACATTGTGATTCTTTGATTTCAAAATTTAATATAAAAAATAAAAAATCACTTTGCTTTATCATATTTGACATGTTTACGTATCATTCATCCATTGATACAATAATACAATAATAATACATTAGATTATAAGTAAATTTGATATAGAATATGGGGTTTTTAGTTTAAAGTTGTTGATATTAAAATTTTATAAGATGAAAGGCATGTAATATTTTCATAATAGTTGGCTGTCCCTCAATATTTTCACAAAAAAAAAAAAAATTTAACATAGAGAAATTTCACAAAGAAATTTGAAATTTCTCTAATAATATTATTAAGTAACCTTAACTAATAAAAAAAACATATTAGACCTCTTTTACTACCAAAAGTTGTAAAGGAATATTTTACTAATTTCTCCATAAAATATAATAATTATTTGGTCATCAACATTTTTCCAAATTCTATTAGCATAACTTTTTCCTCAGCAGCATAAAAGCATGACATTTTACTTTTAAAAATATATTACACTCTGCATCTTACATGTGTTCTTAATTTTCCTATTAAACTTTAAATTTTACAATTTGATTCCTGGATTATTGAATTTTTTGTCAACGTAATCCAATTGGCAACTGATGTCAAATTCATAATTTTAAGAGAAATAGTGTGAAATCACAATGATAAGTAATAAAGAAAATAAGCATTTTAGTATAAAATATATGGTGCTATTATTTTTTTATCGATTTAATTAACAAATTATTAATAAAATTAGACAAAATATTATGTAAATTAAAACTTTACAAAATTTAATTATTTATAATAAAATTATAAATTTTATTGTATTTATTTCAAGACAGATCACTCTAATTTACCCATTAAAATAAGTCTGAATTTCTGGTGCCGTAATGTCCAATGCAGTGTTGCTATCATATCACAATGATAAGTGATGATGTATCGATTCCCGGGTGGATGGGTCGGACCGGCCCAGGTTCTCCAGACTCCGACTCAAAAAGGGGGCTCCGCCAGATGACCTGCAAGCAAGTTCAAAGGGGGGAACGGGGTAGTCCCCCAGTGAACCCTCCGGTGCAAGAATTAGAAGAGCAGAGTATGAAAAGACTGTATATCGAGAGATCAAGAGAGAGAGAGCAACTTAACCTTCTTTTCTTCCTCTTATCCTTGCTTATATCCTTTTGTCATCATTTTTCCTGTCTCTTGTGACGTGCTTTTTCCGCCGAAAGCCTGTGCCATAGCTCATCTTGTTTAGGGTGATGGAGGCTCTGTTCCGGCGGGGAGTGCTGTTGTAATAAATGTTGTGCTGGGTTGCATTAATGGTGATGTGTTGTGATAATAACTCTGCAGATCTTTGTCTGCTGATGTGGCCCGTGTCCCACCTGCCGTGTGCCTAAATGCCGTTGGCCCTTCATGTCTAGGTGGCCTCCAGCTGTTCTGGGCCTTGTCACCCAAGCAACCAGGTTGTGCCATTGGCCCCAAGCACTGGGTTCGGGGTGGTTTACCGTGGGCCGTGTGCCTTGTGGGCCTATATCCTTTTGTCATCATTTTTCCTGTCTCTTGTGACGTGCTTTTTCCGCCGAAAGCCTGTGCCATAGCTCATCTTGTTTAGGGTGATGGAGGCTCTGTTCCGGCGGGGAGTGCTGTTGTAATAAATGCTGTGATGGGTTGCATTAATGGTGATGTGTTGTGATAATAACTCTGCAGATCTTTGTCTGCTGATGTGGCCCGTGTCCCACCTGCCGTGTGCCTAAATGCCGTTGGCCCTTCATGTCTAGGTGGCCTCCAGCTGTTCTGGGCCTTGTCAACCGGGTTGTGCCATTGGCCCCAAGCACTGGGTTCGGGGTGGTTTACCGTGGGCCGTGTGCCTTGTGGGCCTATCCATGTCAATAAGTAATAAAGAAAATAAGCATTTTAGTATAAAATATATGGTGCTATTATTTTTTTATCGATTTAATTAACAAATTATTAATAAAAATTAGACAAAATATTATGTAAATTAAAACTTTACAAAATTTAATTATTTATAATAAAATTATAAATTTTATTGTATTTATTTCAAGACAGATCACTCTAATTTACCCATTAAAATAAGTCTGAATTTCTGGTGCCGTAATGTCCAATGCAGTGTTGCTATCATACAACAAGAGACACCCCGGTATCCTCTACATTCCAAAATGTCTCTGCATCTGTCGGTGCATTGAATCTGTATCGATGAATCTGTCAGTCTCTGTCAAATAATACTATGGTGTCTTTTGGGAAGTGGGTTAATTTTTTAATTTTTTGGTTTTTTTAATTATTTTAGCATGAGCTAAAAAGCTTGATTTGAGAAGGGTTTTTTACTTTTTGACTTTTTTGACTTTTTTTTGTGAGAGAAGAGTGTAATGACTATGGGTTGAATATGATGTTTTGTTTGTTATTGCTAAAATAGCAAAAAAAACTTCCAACCCACCATCTCAAACGATACTTATATATACTAATTAATGTATTAATTAATATATTAATAGATGATATGACATAATTTTAGAGATTTTAATTATTTATAATTTGTATAATAGATAAAATCAATAATAATAAAATAACACTAATTAATACACTAATGTATACATTAATTAATATATATAACACCACGGTTCTCTGTCTTCCCCCCTAAACTTTTACAACATCTTTTTTTTCTCTCGACTCACGTACAATGACATCATTTTTTTAACATGATGTTAAAAACTCAGAAAAAAATACTAAAATATAAAAATAAAATAAAATACGTGACTCTAATTCATTTTAAATAAAAATCTATATAACAGTTGATTTGAATTTTGACCATTTATGTCTAGTTTTTTTTCTCCACATTTTTTATGATCCTAATAATATGTAAAGTGGCTTAATGCAAGTAAGCACCCATTTGCATTTGTCCATGGCTCCACATTCTATCATGATCTATACTAGGGAGATCTGATGTTTTTTGTCCAGTAGATGTTAAGCACGTGTCCCATTGTCACATTCATTTTGGCCTGTATCGACGACATGTACGCATTTTTCATGAGGTTGTGTGAAAGTTATAGAAATAGAATGAAAAAATTCCCTACCGATGATAAAAATCACAGTCTCGATCATTACGCAACATGGCATGCAATAGGTTGTACATTTGCAACATCATTTTTCTTGGTAACTGCAATAAAAGAATCAAACAAGAAATGTTGTATTAAAAATGAAAGCACATTTGCAAAACATATGTGCAAAATTTTATTCATATATATATATATATATATTATGATTTTATAATTTATTTTGGAGACACCATTGTTAAGTAATTCTCCGATGAATTTATTCAACCTAGCAATGCAATATTATCCAAATCTGTCTAATCCAATTACTAAAATGGATTAGATATATAAGCATCCAATTCAGTCCGATTAATTTTCAATTTTTATAGTATTATTATTATAACAAGATTATGGATAAAGAATTAATTATTCAACCAACTACATAAAACAATTCTAGTCATACTATTATATTAATGATGGAATTTATCATAAAAAAATAGGAGGAGGATCCCCTCCAATCTAGATTTGGACTGTAGGGTGTTGTTTGGACTCGTGAGACTCACTATAAGCCCCGTTTCGATGGTCTAAACTGTTCATTTTGTCAATCACTTCGTGTATTTCATTCACAAAAAAAAAAGATCAATCTGATAACTATAACTTATTTAATTTTTCATTAAAAAAATAAACAGTAATAGTATTTTTTAAAATAAACCATATATATTTTTAGTGAGAAACGTAATAAATTGAACAAGTTATAGTTATTAGATCAGTCTAATTTTTTGTGTAGATGAAATTCACGAAATACCTGACAAAATAAATGGTTCGAATCATCTAAACAGAGCCCGTGGTGGGCCTCACGGGCCCAAACGGCACTCTATAGTCTAAAATATGGATTGGAGGAAATCCTCCTCTTAAAAAATATACTTTTATGCTGTGTTTGGTTGAGGGATTTGAGGAGGGATTTGGAAA